TGGGATCTGTTATTTCTACAGAAGATGCTGGTAGTGGAGCAAAAGTCCTTGATACTATGAGTTTTCTTAGGCAGATGAAGCTATTGTAGGACCTTACACTTACTAATTAGAATTTGGGTTATCTGGTCTGTGGACCACCATTTTTTAGAAATCCAGGCTTCTGAAAATCTTTTTAATCAAAGAAAGACATGTTTCTTCCCTTATATGCTAGACAGAAGGCACATTGGGTATGTTATGGCTTGGAAAAATAAGTTAACTGTCAGTACTATATGGATAGAACAATTCAGGGAGGTACACAGCCTAGAAGGACACTGCCAACTGGCCTCCCTGTGCTTCCAGATTGGATGAACTCTATCCACTAGAGTGTTCAAAGCATCTTATTATCAGCATCTGTCTTTTCTCTGTTAGTCAGCTTTTCCTCACCGAGACCAAAATACCTGATAAGAACAAGATAGAAGCAGAAAAGTTCATTTGGGGCTCATAGTTTCAGAGGTCTCAGTCCATGGTTGGTTGACTCCATTTCTCTGGGTCTGAGCTGAGGCAGAACATCATGTCAGAAGAGCATGATAGAGGACAGTAGAGTGAATTTTAAATAATGTTTTAAAAAATACACATGACTTAAGTATTGATTACCAAAAGTGAGACTCTTCTTAAAATCAAAAGTAATAGTAAAGTTCTGGTATTACAGCCAAGGTGTAGTTAAGGGAATTATATCTATAATTTTAATTTATAGTAAGTTACATTAGAGACATACAATACTCTCAGAGAGTAATGAGGAAGAAGAGGGACAAAGAAAGGATTCTCAGAAAAGGAATATGACAAAGAGAAAAGCATAAAGGAAATAACATAAAGCTTATGGCTAAGGAAAAAGAGAAATTATGTATCAAAAAAATAGAATGTATAGGGAAAAAACAGTTTTCTCCTCTGCTATGCTTTTATAATACTGTTTTTTTTGGGGGGGGTGGGAGGTGGGTACTGGAGATTGAATCCAGGACTTCACACATGCTAGGCAAGCATTCCACCACTGAGTTACATCCCAACACTTTTTATTTTGAGACAGGTCTAAGTTGCCCAGATTGGCCTAGAACTTTCAATTCTGCCTCAGCCTCTGGAATAACTGGGGGTTTTAGGTGTGTTTCACTATGACTGGTTTTTACAATATTTTATACTTCTGATCACCAAGATGTGTGGGTTTTTCCTACACTGAACAATTCTCTAACACCAACTGGGTGTCCTATAATACAATTCAATTCTGACACTATCTACCTAGACTTAGCACCAGATCCCACAGGTTTAGGGTCAGTCTCACAAAATTGCCCCGCCCTCAAATAGATGCCAATAATAAGTCTAGGGCTATGATACTTCTAATTGACCAGCGATAAAGTGGAGGTTCCCACAAACCTCTCCAATCAGGGCTGGGGTTGTGGCTCAGTGGTAGAGCATTTGCCTATCATGTGTGAGACACTGGGTTCGATTCTCAGCACCACATATAAATAAATAAATTAAATAAAGGTCCATCAACAACGAAAAAAAAAAATTTTAAAAATCTCCGATCATTTGTTATAAGAACTCACAAGACTCAGGGAAACTCTTTACATATATTTACCTTTTATCATAAAAGGATCCAACTCAAGAACAAACATATCAAAGAGATAGACAGGGAAAGACTCTAAAATAGGGAACACTGTAGTGATTGATTTGGGGCAATTTGCCCCTCCCCACTCTGGGACGTTTGACAATGTTTAGACACTTTTTTTCTTTTTTTGCAGTGCTAGGGGTCAGAACTCAGGGCTTCATGAATTCGAGGAAAGTGTTCTACTACTGAACTAAAGCCTCAGTACCCAGAAAAACTTAAATTGCTAAGAATGAAGGGCTGGGATATAGCTTGGTGGAACAGTACTTGCCTAACATGCATGAGGCTCTGGGTTCAATACCTGGTACCCAGGAAAAAAAATTCTTAAAATGCTAAGAATAAATTTAACAAAATATGAGCAAGTTTTATATGTATGCTACATAATTTTCCTAAGGGACATAAAGTAAATCCAAATAAATAAAGATAAATGAAGATAAAGGAATGTTCCTGAAAATGTTCCTGAAAGTAAACCTCAGTACTGTAAATAGGTTTATGCTTTGCAAATTAATTTATAGTCAAGTAAATTCAATCAAAATACCAAAAGGAATCATAGGAAACTTGGTAAATAAATGTAAAATTCATATGCAAAATAAAAAAGTTCAGGTTTTATGGTAATATGAAAGGCTGGCCATTTCCTCTCCATAAATATCAAGGATAAAACTGGATAGAATTATCAAAAACAATCATTTTAGGGCACTGGAAATTAACCAAAGGAAAACTGCAAATTGAAAAGTGTTTATTTAAAGAAAACTGACAAAGTTATAGGTTAGAACAAAGGGAAGCTCTGTCCTGCCTGAAAATATTCCTAACTACTTACTTCTAGCTAGGATGATGAGCCTGTCAGTTTTACCAACATGATGTTAGCAAAAAAGAACCCAGCAGCTTTGTTGGCAAAAGGTCTGACTCATTTCTGGGTGAGGGAGCAAAAACTTGTGGCTTTGCCCTCTTCAAGTGTGTCACCCTCCAGGAAGCCCCACACATCCAGCCATCTGGGAGCTCTCCAAACCCCACTGGGTTTTTGTGGAGACTTTAAATAAATTTGAAAAACAAGAAAAGAGCTTTAAAATTGTTACTCCTATTCTTACAATAAGAAAAAGTTGGAAAAACTAAAAGTCAAGTTTTCTTGGACTCATAAGAAAAGTGAGGTTACAGAGCAAATTATTACCCTGCAATAAGGAGAAAGAGGTTGAATCTAAGAAAAACAAAATGTCTATTTTTCCTCTCATCTCCCACCACAATCAACACAGACTTCTAACACCAGATATGTAAGAATTTCTCCCCATCAGCAAGTGAGCAGTTTTGCAGCTGGGTGTTCTCTAATCCTGTTCAGTTCTGATACTATCTACTTAGAGATAGCATCAGATGCCACAGATTGACACCCCACCCCACTCCATTACTTTAGATGTCATCACAAGCCCCAGGTGGTCTTTACCTGTGCTTCTGACCTGTGAAGGGTCCAGATAATCTGCTCAAGCTGCTCACAGAACTTGGGGAAACACATTTACCAGTTTATCATAAAGGATATTACAAAGGATACAGATGATACAACATATAGGTCAAGGTATGGGGGAAGTAGTAAAGAAGTTCCATGCCCTCTTCAAGCTTGCTACTTCCAGGAACCTCCACATACCTAGATATATGGAAGCTCTCAGAACCTTGCCCTCTTGGGGTTTTATGGAGACTTCATTGCATAGGCAAGGTGAGGAAACCCAGCAAGGTTCTATGTATACCATTTCTTCCTTCAAGGTATGGGGCAGGACACCTCTGGACTGAGGAGGGTCTTTTTATTATTGGTTCTTTTAGTTATACAGAACAATAGAATTCATTTTGATATGATTATAAAGGCATGGAATATAATATAATTGTTCTAATTCAGTCCCCAAAATTTCCCCTTTCCCTCCCCTTACTCCCTCCCCTCTACTCTACTGGTCTTTTCCTATTTACTTATAGTTTTTTTCTACTTGTAGTTTTTTTTAAAATATATTTTTTTAGTTGTAGTTGGATACAATATCTTTAATTAATTAATTTATTTTTATGTGGTGCTGAGGATTGAACAAAGGGCCTCGCCCATGCTAGGGGAATGCTCTACCGCTGAAACACACACGCAGCGCCTCTACTTGTGTGGTTTTTTTTTTTTTTTTTTTAATTAGTATCTTGTGGATGCACATGCTGGTGAGATTCACTGTGGTATATTCATATGTTCCTATATATATACATACACACACACACATACACACACTCACAGGTTCATTCCACTGTCTTTCCCTATCCCCTCCCTTCATACTTCTTTGTCTACTCCACTGATCTTTCTTCTTTCTTTTCTTTTTTTTTTTTTTTTTTATCCCCCTATCCCATTTTGGACTAGCTTCTACATATCAGAGAAAACACTCAACCTTTGACTTTTTGGGACTGGCTTATTTCACTTAGCATGATAGTCCCCAATTCCATCCATTTACCAGCAAATGTACAAAGTCTTTATGGCTAAGCAATATTCCATTGTGTACCACATTTTCTTTATCCATTCATATGTTGAAAGGTACCTAGGTAGGCTCCATAGCTTGGCTATTGTGAATTGTGCTGCTATACATATTGAAGTGGCTGCATCACTGTAGTATCCTATTTTAAATCTTTTGTGAGGAGTGGGTGACTGGGTCAAATGTTGGTTCTATTCCTAGTTTTTTGAGGAATCTCCATACTGCTGTCCAGAGTGGTTGCACTAATTTGCAGTCCCACCAACAATGTATGAGTGTACCTTTTTCCTCACATTTTCACCAACATTTATTGTTACTTATATTCTTGATAATTGCCATTCTAACTAGAGTGAGATAAAAAATCAAAGGGGGGCTTAATGACCTATTATCAGACAAGGGAAGTCAGAGATTTTTTTTTTTTCAGTGATGAGAATAGAGAATTTTCTTATAGCTAACTAAAGGCAAGGAAATATTAGAGTTTCTTAGGAGTCACTCTCAGAAAGAGAAGTTCTAATTTTGTTTTCCTGTGCTGTAGATTGAACTAAGGACCTAGCACTAGGCAACTGTACCACTAATCTATGTCCACAGCCCTTTTTAATTTTTCATTTTGAGACAGAGTATCACTAAGTTGCCCAGCCTGCCCTCAACTTGCAATCCTCCTGCTTCAGCCTCCAGAGTACCTTGGACTACAGGCATGCACCACAGCACCCAGCTTACCACCCAAGTACTATACCTTTGACTTTCACAGATTTTCCAGAACACATGCAATTAGCAGATGGCTCATATAACATAGTAAGTTCTATAATCAAATGTTGAGAACTATTATGATTGAAACTAATTGTCTTTACATCCTTACTATTATCTCTTCAGAGGACTTTCCTATCAATGCAACTTACCTGCATCATGACATTTAGTGTATATTTTTGATCTTCTCGCTTTGCTGTAGCTTTTGCTTCTGTAGCCTCCTTTGCTTTCTCCTGTGCTTGTAAAATAGATTTTTCTCTTATTATCTGCATCATCTCTTTGTCCACTAAAATATAAGGAATATTGGTAAACCAGGATTATGATAAATTCTTTGACTTAGGAGAAAACTACTTAATATACTAAATCAGGATGAGATTTATTCTGACCCAACTTCACAAGAAGTGAAAACATGTTTTAATATTCAACTGACCAGGGGTTAACATTAAAAAGGTAAACAATTTATGGTAATAATAATACTGAGGGGGGGACAGGAAGGGATCAAAGAGGGATGCAGAGGAATGAGAGAGAAGAGGGGAGAGAGGGAGGAGAAAAGATGGAAGAATGGGAGACAGGAGAATACATTTGTCTTCCTTCCTTTCTGTTGAGAACTAGTGCTATTTGCCTATAAACCTGATCATCGTGATTCATCTCTTGGTATCTCCTAGAAGGGAAGATGAGTGGAGATCACTTGAAATAATCCACCTGAAATAATCAAACTCCTTCTAAAACATAGTATTCATTCATACATATTAAAAGAGAGGGCCAGGCCCAAGAAAATTCCAAAGTAGCATTGACATGTTCTATGTACAGCTTTACCATTTGCAATTATATTTACTGTAGCTCAGTGTTTTAAAAACTGCAGACTGTGGTCCTTTAATGGGTAAATTATCTTGGGGAAGGAGAAATCAGAACCTGAGAGAAAGAATCTAAGAGAGGAGGAAATTGGTGGGGGTGGGGGCAGGAGGTAGGTCTGAGGCCTCTCCCCAACCCTCTTCTATTTAGAAAGAAGGAAACAGACAGTTAGATAGTTTCTGGAGCAGGGAAAAAATCAAAAGAATACAATTTTCCAAATGAAATTTTCCATTTAAGTATATCAAGAAGGAACTTAAAGAAAAAATTAAGTGGGGCAGAGCATGGGGGGTGTAGTTGAACACATCTGTGATCCTAGCTACTAAGGAGGCTGAGGCAAGAAAATAACAAGGTTGAAGCCAGCCTGGGCAATGCAGCAAATATCAAAATAAAAAATAAAAAGGGCTGAGATGTAGCTCAGTGGTAAAGTATTTGCCCAGGGTGTGCAAGGCCTTGGCTTCAATATTTATCACTGCCAGATTAAAAAAAAAAAAAAAAGAGCAGCAAATATGTTTTGAGTAAGGAGGCAGACAAGCTTAAAGCACAGGCTGGAGGTCCACAGAACTTTATGTGAAAAAAAGATTGTTAAATAAATAATCTCACTGAATTGCAAGTGAAACTGTTTCAATTCTAGAGGAATCTCAAACCTAGTTTCTGACGTAGAATCAATGTCTATTAATTGCTATGTAAGTTAGTTTTAAGACTTTTGATTAGTTTAGATCAGAGACTTGCAAACTATTATCCAGAGTCAAATCTAGAATACTGTTTCTCTAACCCACAAGCTATGACTAATTTTTCACTTTTTTTCTTTGAATTAGAGATTGAACCCTCAGGTGCTTAACCATCGAGCCGCATTCCCAGACTCCCCTGCTTTTTTGGTGAGGGGGACAAGGTCTCACTACGTTGCTTAAGGCCTTGCTAAGCTGCATTCCTCCTGCCTCAGCCTTCACTTTTTTTTTTTTTTTTGGTATTGGGGGTTGAACCCAGGGGCACTTAACTACTGAGCCACTTCCCTAGCCCTTTTTTGTAGTTTATTTAGAGACAGGGCTCACTGAGTTGCTTAGGGCCTCACTAAGTTGCTGAGGCTGGCCTTGAATTTGCGACCTCCCTCCCAGCCTTCTGAACCACTGGGATTACAGGCATGCAGCACCACACCTGGCAGCCTTCACATTTTTAATGATCAAAAAAATTTTTTTTAATTTAGTGTCAAATAAAACTTAGATTACATTCAAATTTCAGCATCCACAAATATCTATCATCTGTGGCTGCTTTTGTGCTACAGTAGCAGAGCTGAGTGGATGAGATAGAGACCATTTGACCTGCAAAGTCTATAAAATATTATCTGATCCTTTACAGAAAATGTTTGCTAATATGGCTGTCCACATAACTATGAAAGAGGAGAATCAAGTAGCCTTTCAATACAAACAGCTGTGTAAGACAGAAAGAAAATTCCCCTCCCACTTCTGGAGAAGGTTGCTATCAGGTTAAAATGAGAATTTGAGCCTGGCTCAGTGGCGCACGCCTGTAATCCCAGTGGCTCAGGAGGCTGAGGCAGGAGGATTGAGAGTCTGAAGCCAGTCTCAGCAACTTAGCAAGGCCCTAAGCAACTCAGTGAGACCCTGTCTTTAAATAAAATAAAAAAAGGGAGGGTGGGCTGGAGGTTGTGACTTAGTGGTAAGCACCCCTGGGTTCAACTCCCAATACCAAAAAAAAAAAAAAGAAAGATTAGAATTTGACATAGAATAAAGTGTTTAATGTCAGATAATATGTGTAGAAAAAGTATTAAGTTTTCCTGATAATTACCCTCCTATTATATACTAAGAAGATCATGGCTAAAATACTTCCTAGGGGAATTTGTTGGCCAGAAAGACACACATATAAACATCTAAGTCCGTAATTCTCAAACCTAACTCATCAGAATCACCTGGGGATGTGCTTGCCTCATCTGTTTATTTTTAAATAAGCCGTTACAATAGATGATGGTTCTACTCCCACTTAACGTCAAAATTAAAATTATTAGGAAGAGTCAACATAAATGGAAGTGTTAACATTTAGTCTTAGCTCAGAAGTCAGAACACCCAGGTTGTGTTGTTTGTTTGTTTTTTGTGATGCTGGAAGTTGAACCTGGGGCCTTGTGCATTCTAGGGGACACTCTACCACTGAACCACATTCCCAGCCTTTGTTTTTCATTTTTTAAAACCAGAACATTTACTGGGTGGCTTGAAACTCTCAAAATGTACTGGATGTTGCAACAGCTGCCCTCTTGGGTTTAAGAGTTGTTCCTTCACAGAATCTATGCCTGAATCTGTGTGTACAATTTTTATGTGCCTCATTCAACCATACCTGGTGGTATTTTGTCTTTGAGTGTTGGCACTCCAGTTATACTTTCTCTTGCACTTGGCAGGGTAGCCATATTTGCCACAAGTCGACTTCTGAAGGTGACAGACCTGAGAGCCACAGCATCAGCACAATGTGTGCATCTTATTATGCTTTACAAAGGTTTCTGGGAATGTTTTATAATATGTCTATCACAAGTCACTGAGTCACAAAGGAAGGCAGGGGTGGAAAAACAGGAATCTGGTTTTTAAAAACTCCTTAGGATAATTTGGAACTCATTAAAGAAATCAAATAACATCTCTATGGTAATCTACCTTAGTAAGTATTGTCTGAACTAAAATACTAGATCATAGGAGGAAAAAATTCTACCTCAGTGCTGGTCTTGAGGATTAAAAATTAAATCCCACTGTAAGATACCAACAGAGTTTTTTTTTGTGGGGGGTAGGGGGGATTGAACCCAGAGGCACTTAACCACAAAGCTGCATCCCCAGCCATAATATATATATTATGCTGAGGCTGGCTTTGAACTCATGATCATTCTGCCTCAACCTCCCAAGCCACTGGGATTACAGGCATGCGCAACTACGCCTAGCTCAACACACTCTCTCTCTCTTTTTTTTGTAGTTGTAGATGCCTTTATTTGTTTATTTTTATGTACTGCTAATTGAATCCAGTGCCTCACACATGTTAGGTAAGTGCTCTGCCACTGAACTATAGCCCTAGCCACCAACAGAGTCTTAATATAAAGAATGGTTGCAGTCCCTTCCATTCTTTTTGTTTTCTTTTCTTTTTTTATTATTTATTTTTTAGCTACAGGTGGACACAATATCTTTTTTATTTTTTATGTAGTGCTAAGGATCGAAGCCAGTGCCTCACACATGCTAAGCAAGCACTCTACTTCTGAGCCACAATCACAGGCTCCTTCCATTCTTAATAGCACATACTTACAGTGAAATGACAGAAGCCTATGAGAAATTCTAAGTGGTAGATTTAATGTACTAGAAGACATGGCAACTAGAAGAGGAAGGAGGAAAATAAAGGTAAAGCAGTAGAAGACAATTACTGACCCACAAAGCTTGAGCTGGGCAGTAGAAAAGAATACTACTTAAGAGTACAGGAAACTAGGTTTACACAGAGATCTCAACTTTGGCTGTATAATTCCTGGAAAGCTCTTTTTAAAAACTGCCAATTCATGGGCTGGGGCTATACCTCAGTGGCAGAGCACTTGTCTAGCATGTGTGAGGCACTGGGTTCTATCCTCAGCACCATATAAAAAAAAAATTAAATAAAGGCATTCTGTCCATCTACAACTATAAAAAAAATTTTTAAATGCCAGTTCCTGGGTATCACTCCCAGAAACTAATTTTATTGATCTAGGATGAGTTTCAGATGTCTCTATTATTTTATAAATTCAAAAAGTGATCCAAATATGTAGCCAGGGTTGAGAACCTCTGCTCTAGAGTGAAACTACTAAAGCTCTAGTTCCAGCCTGCCAGTGACTAGCTGTGTGATTTTTGCCAATTATTCAATCCTTCTACACTTAAAAAAATATAACAATACCTAAATGATAAGTTGTTTCAAGAATTAATAGATATGTTAGTATCTAACACAAAGTAAGCTTTCCTTAAAGGCTACATCAGGAAGGCATACCCCTAAGATAAAAGCCCACATCTCTTCTGCTTAATGTGTTCTAACTTTGAATAATTCTATCATTATGCTTATTTTTTTAAAATATTTATCTTTTGTAGTTGGACATGATAACTTTTATTTTATTTATTTATTTATTTATGTAGTGCTGAGGATCGAACCCAGGGCCTTGCACATGCAAGGCGAGCACTCTACCACTAAGCCATAACCCCAGCCCCTCATTATGCTTCTTTAAATGGTAGCTGAAGCACTTTCTCTTTTTTTTTAAGGAGGGGAGTACTAGGTATTAAACCCAGGGGAAATTAACCACTAAGCTTCATTCCCAGCCCTTTTTAGTTTTTGAAACAGGCTCTCACTAAGTTGCTGAGGCTGGCCTCAAACTTGCAATCCCCCCCTAAGCTTCCAGAAACACTGGGATTACAGGCTTGCTCCACCAAACCTGGCAGTACTATCTCATTTTAATGCAGGTGCATCTATGTGCCTTTTTTTTTTTTTTTTTTTAATCTAGAAGAGCAATTGAAGGAGTTCAAGGCATGCCACACCAAAATATGATACTTTGGTATACTGATTATTTTGAGCTGAAAGAACTTGCAAAACATCAAATAGGTGCTTTCTCTGATCTCTTACCTGCCTAATGTCTAATAACAAATTCTCACCAAAAAAACCCAATTGTCATAAATCCCCTCCCTTGGGGTTTCATTAACCAGGGAGTATTCGCTCCTTTTTTTTTTTTTAATATGGCATCTGGCTAAGTGATCCTCCTGCCTCAGCCTCCTAAGTAACTGAGACTACAGGCATCTGCTGCCCTGTCTAACTACTATCAACTCTTAGCACAGTAGTGCAGATTAGAAGTCCACAATGCACTCTAATAAACTTTGATACAAACTATTATATTTCCCATCTATTCTTTTAAAAAAACCATTTGTCTTTCCTAAATACATGCTGTTCTAAGTAGCCTACTCTTTCTCCTTCACCTTCCCCTATTAAGAAGGTTTATATAAGTCCACTAGCCTCAGCAACTTGGAGACCCTGCCTCAAAATTTAAAAATAAATAAATAAAAAGCACTGCTTATGTAGCACAGTGGTAAAGCATCCCTAGATTCAATCTCCAATTCGGGGGAAAAAAACTATATGAACTGAAATTTCACCACTTTTTTGAGTTATTCACTTTTTTTCTGCAATGCTGCTAAATATATAATATTAAAAGTTAATAAATCTGTAGGCACTTTCTCCTGTTAATCTGCCAGATTTTTCATGTACCAAGCTATAAAATGTAGAAAAGTTTTTCTTCCCCTACACAATATAGCTGTTTCAAATAATTTTTAAAGATATAAATCAGAAAAAGCTCAAGCAGATGAATATCTTTTAATAAAGAACTTACCACTTGACATAGAAAGCGTCTCCCACATGACCGCTTCTTTTTTATACAAAGTGAAAACAATAGTGTCATTCCCAATCTTTGCTTTGCTGCTTGCATCGTCTATGGGAGCATAGAGAAATGCCTCAAATAAAAATGGAGGAAAGTTCACCTGTTCAGAAGAGACAAAACAGAAATTTGGCTGGTCACACAAATTAACGATACCAGCATTAAAAGAAATCCGTGTTAAAAAGCCAAACTAATTTTCCTAAAGGTTCACTAAATCTATTCTAGGTAGCAAAATTTAGCAAGACGTGAAGAAGCCCTGAGCTGATGTCCTTTATCTACAGATGAGATGTCACCTGTTTGTTTAAAAGAAAAAAAAGAAAAGAAAAATTGAGAACGGTCCTCTGCAAGGAGGCTCGCTTTGCGCGCGCCCAGCCGCGCAATCGCTAAAGACTCGGGCCACACCCCCGGGCGGACGGCACCACTTGCGTCCCTACCTTGAGATAGTTTTCGGTGCAGAACACGTCCGCGTCTCTGACACAGACGCCTCGGAGGGGCAAGGAGAGGAAGACCGCAGTCTTGGTCTGCTGCCAGCTGTAATTGCTAACCAGCAGCGGCATCCCGGGAGTGACAGGAGCGGGAGGGTCGGCGGGTTGCTGCCGGCGACTCCTCGGTTTCTAGGGAAGCTTGGGTTACCACGCGTCACCCCTTCCGGGTCAGGCCGGGTGGGAGCCCCTGGCTCCCAGCGTGCCCCGGGCGCATTCTGTCGTCTGGTGACTGTCAGGCCCCGCCTCGGACTGCGGTGTCAGTCGGCTTCCTGGGGGTTGCCCTCCTCCACTCCTGCTGCGAGAATTTCCAAAAAGTAGACCCACGTCTACATAAGAAAAGTCTTCATGCCTTAGAATGCAAAGAAAGGATGTGGGCTTAATGGCTCAGGAAAGCGGTCGGTCGAGGAGCAGGTGTGACACCTGCGTGTTACTGGAACCTTGAACCTTTGTTCTGACCGAGGCTATTTGGAGTTAGCACCATTTGATGTTCCTATTGAGGAAAAGGGTCATACCAGGAACTTGGTGCCCTTTCGTAGTTCTCCAAATCCTACAGCTCTAAGGCCACCAAAAGCACCTAGGTAGGGTTGGCCAAGATTTGAAAACCGGGGAGAAAGGACCTTATGGCTCACCTGACATGTACTTTGCTGCAACTCAATAGTAGGATAAGTTGGATTTACACTGGTACATTTTACAATTACTTCAGTAGATTCTGAATTTTAGGGCTGCAAAGAAACTTGAAGGTTGTGTAGTTTTATCCTGCGTATTTAAGGAATCTAAAATCCATGCACTTAAACCCATTGTCACATAGATTTGTGATAGAACAGCTATTAGATCTCTTAACTCCCATCCCAATATTCTTTCCCTGGGCTATTTCTATAATTCCATTTAATAAATTACTAGAATGATGCTAGCATAGTTAATTCATATGATAATTTAGTCCTGCAATTTACTTGTCACCAGGAATTTGGATTTTAAACTTTTTACTTTTGGAGACAATTTACACAAATTTCAAAGCACCGGAGAAAGTCCTTGAGAAAACTTTTAGGAGAAAGTCCTTGAGAAAACTTTTAGGAGCCGTAGACTTAAGGGAAAATATCTTTTCCCCCAAACAGGGCACTGACTACCTTAACTAATTTTGTCAGCAATTCGTTATCTTAAGCTTCTGATAACTTTGAATAGTGGGAGTCATCTAGAATTTTCTCCCTTGGTCTCTGCAAACTGAAAAATGTATGACTTCTATGTATGTTTTCTTTTTTCACCCCATATTGTTTTTGGCATTTCCCCCCCCCCCCTTTTATACTATCTCTACTTTTCCCATATGGTCTCAAACTGTCATGTGTCTTCAAAAGACAGAGTTTATGTGTCTCTTTCATATAAAAATTTAAAGTATAGGTTCTCTTATTATATAAAAATACAAGACTGTCTTTCCCTCTGGAGATAACTTGCATTCTCTCTTGAATGTGTATTCCTTGCTTTACCCCCAAAAGTTTCTCTTTTGAGATGGCCCACATTCTCTCTTGAATGTACTTCTCTTTTCCTAAATAAACCTCTATGGCTCTGACTGGTGTGTGCTGAAACTCTTTTTGATCATGTATGCCAAGAACTCTGTTGGTCGTAAGTCAAATTGCCCTTTTTCTCCAGGAATTCCTCAGACCCTTCTTAAGAGACCTCTCTTTTCTGGTGACATCACCAGGTACAGTGGCATACACTGGTAATTTCAGCTACTCTGGAGGCTGAGGAGGAGGATTGCAAATTCCAGGTCAGACTCAGCAATTTAGTGAGACTTTCAGCAATGTAGCAAGATCCTGCTTCAAAATAAAAAGTTTCTAACAAATTATGTTATGTCTATGTATGAATAAGCCACAATGAATCTCACATGTATATGTGTGTATAATATTATAATACACTAATTAAAATAATAACAATAACAGTAGATAGGGAAGGGAAGGGAAAAGGGAAGGTACTGGGAAATTGATCAAATTTTGTCATTTGCATGTATAAATATGGCACAATTAATGCATAATTTTATTTATATATTTGTTTGTTTACTTACTTATTTACTTATTTTTTGTGGTGCTGGGGATTGAACCCAGGGCCTTGTGCATGCGAAGCAAGCACTCTACCAACTGAGCTATATCCCCAGACTACACATAATTTTAATGTGCCAATTACAAAAAGGACTGGGGAATGTAGTTAAGTGGTAAAACACCCCTGGGTTCATCCTGGTACACGCCTGTAATCCAGCTACTAGGAAGACAGAGGCATCTCCCCATCTCCATCTCCCCAGTACTAAAGAAAAAGAAAAACTGAATAAAAGAAAAAAGCACTAACCATAAAGTAAAATATTGAAAACTTGAGCTAAATTTAATAACTGATGTTCATGAAAAGGCATGATAATGTAAAGATATCTGAAATAGTATATATATACTATTCATTGCCTTACAGCCAAGGGCCATAAGTACACCTATGGTTGAACAACCTGAGTTCAACTCATTGAGCAAGAGAGAACAAAAGCCATGGGATATCTCAGTAAGAGGCTTTTAGAATTTAGGGACAGTTTTAAGAGAGGAAAGATTCCCTCTAAATTGAATCATTTCAAAAAGTGAAGGTAATTCTACTGATAAATTTCAGGAAGGAGATCCCAAATATAACTCCTTGGCTTAATGGATATATATATTTATATATTTATATATATATATATATATATATATATTTTTTTAATTTTTTAGTTGTGCATGGGCAAGATAGCTTTATTTTATTATTTATTTTTATGTGGTGCTGAGGATCGGACCCAGGGCCTCGCACATGCTAGGCGAGCACTCCACTGCGAGCCACAACCCCAGCCCAACTTAACAGATATTTTAAGTTGAAGGAATTTGAGAAGGAGTGACATCCCCCACCTCTTCTCTTCTGAAGCAGATCACAGGACCCTCATATGAGAAGTGCCTTCCTTTACCCAAAGGAAAGAGGCATCTTTCTCTGAAAAAGGAAAGGAACCTGAAAAAACACTTTCTAAGTTCTTCCCAGTTTATAACACTTAGCTAATATACTTTGTCCTACCACATTTTCCTGCAAATTTCCACTCCATCAGACCTGGCATTAAATGGTTAAGTTTCACTTGTTCCATTCTTAATTTCCTTATGAAGGATTCCAAATCATGTAAAATATATATTAAATAAATTTGTATGCTTTTCCTTTGTTAATCTTCTATTACAGGAACCACAGCCAAGAACTTAGAGGGTAAAAGGAAAAGACATTTTTTTCCTCCCTTACCTGATGATTTGGTAAAGTAGTAGCTGTTGCTCACTTAGACAAAATTATCATCATTTTGTTGGTCTCAGAGTACTCTTGTCTCAGGTTGGTATTCTGTGTGATTGTTTATGTTCAGCAGAAGAATAACTTGGCCAAGCTGTGGTGTCAGATCTGCTTCTGAATGTCTGAGGCTTCTCTATTCTCTTATTCAGTAATCAACAATGAAAACATATAAGCAAAATATATAAAAAAGGAAATACAACCCTACATGAAAATGGGCAAATTGGCATGATTGCTTATTCTATAACTAGCAATTCTACTCCTAATTATATACCTGAGAGATTTCTAACAAGTTCTTAGGTGATGCTGTTATTTCATGAACCATTGCTCTAGAACAGGGTTTCTCAACCCCCATGCTATTGACATTTTAGGCTGGATAATTCTGAACAATTTGTGCTGCTCTGTGCATTAGAGGATGTCTAGTAGCATCTACCCACTCAATGTTAGTAGTACTTTTCAAGTATGGTCATGAAAGTGTCTACAGACATTGTCAAATGTCTCCAGGAATGGGGGTGGGAATAGTAAAATTGATGCCATCTGAGAATCACTGTCTTAGAAAAAATCTTGGTCATGTACATTAAGACATATTTATAGGCCTTCATAGAGTCTTTATAGAAAAGACCTGAGAAATGACAACAGCAATATATACACACAACAGAATATCATTAAATAACAAAAGCAAGAAAGTTACCATTATATATTGGATGGATAAATTAAAAAAGCAAACCAAATAACATTCTTAGCAAATAATGCCATTTTAATAAAACTAAAACAATTGGATAAGAAGTCCTATGCATGTGAAGAAAAGGTAGTGATCAACTCAGGTAAAGGTAGACAAGAGGCCCATTTTTTCCCTCATTTAAAAAATTTGTTCTACTTAGTTATATATGACAGCAGAATGCATTTTAATTCATTGTACACAAATAGAGCACAACACTTCAATTCTCTGGTTGTACATGACGTAGAGTTGCACCATTTGTGCAATCGTATATGTACCTAAGGTAATGATGTCTGTCTCATTACATCATATTTCCTACCCCATGCCCCAACTCCACCCTCCCCTTTGCCCAATCCAAAGTTCCTCCATTCTTCCCACACACACACACCCTGCCCCATCATGGATTAGCATCCACTAATCAGAGAAAACATTTAGCCTTTGGTTTTTGGAATTGGCTTACTTCACTTAGCATGACATTCTCCAACTCCATCCATTTACCTGCAAATGAATAGGTCCATTTGTGGTAGCCAACAGAGCTGATCACTACACAGTCACACAGTGTGAATTAAGACAAAGGTTCTACGAGATATCTTGTTGCATGCCTATAATCCCAGCTATTAGGGAGACAGAGGCAGGAGGATTACAAATTCAAGGCCAGGCTGGGTAACTTTACAAGACCCCGTTTCAAAATAAAATTTTAAAAAGAGCCAAAGATAAAGTTCAGTGGTTGAGTGCTTGCCTAGAATGTGCAAGGCCCTAAGTTTAATCCCCCGTAACACACATGCACACATACACACACATACAAGACAGGTTACCAGAGTGTTGTCCTCCCTACCAACAACAAAACATTAATATCACCATCATCTGGAGACTCATTAGCAATGCAGATTCTCAGGCCCCTCTCAGACTGGAATTCTAGAAGTAAGGAGAAATCATTGCTTTAGCAAGTCCACTATGTAATTCTGTGACACAATGAAATCTGAGAACCGCTAGGTTATGGGATATGTTTTATTGGAGAAAGGGAAAACTTAAAAAGCTAAGAAAAAAAAAATACACACACAACTTCGCCCTCGTCCCATCATC